CTTCCTTCCTTCCTTCCTTCCTTCCTTCCTTCCTTCCTTCCTTCCTTCCTTCCCTCCCTCCCTCCCTCCCTCAGTCACACATCCATCTGTCCATCCCTCTGTCCATCCCACCCCTATGGACATGTCCCCTCCCAGCCCTGTCCCCGTCACACCAGTCCCCAGCTGCCCCTGCCCCACGCACTGCCCTGGGCACGGTGCCACCGGTGCCACCTGCTGCTGGCAGCCCCAGGGGGGTGGGGGTCCCTGGGGAGCACACCAGTGGTCACACGTCCCCGCGGGGGTGTGGGACACGGCGTGTCACTGTCGCGACCCATCCTGGGTCGAGGAGGACGTGATGCCACCGGTGCCATCGGGTGCCCTGAGATGGACAGGTGGCACTGGGGGACAGCCGCGTGGAATGGGACAGCAGCGTGGAGAGGGGACACCTCAGCCTGTGTCCCATGGGGAGGACACTGCCTGGGGACAGTGCCAGCAGCCTCTAGGGGACAGTGCCTTGTGTCCCGTTGGGAGGACACTGCCTGGGGACAATGCCAGCAGCCCCTAGGGGACACCTTACCCTGTGTCCCATGGGGAGGACACTGCCTGGGGACAGTGCCTTGTGTCCCGTTGGGAGGACACTGCCTGGGGACAGTGCCAGCAGCCCTCCAGGGGACAGTGCCCTGTGTCTCATGGGGGGGACACTGCCTGGGGACAGTGCCAGCAGCCCCCCAGGGGACAGTGCCCTGTGTCCCGTGGGGATGCTGCTGTTCTGGAGCGAGCAGGGGACAATGCCAGCCCTGCCATCCGGGCTGAGCCCCTTCCTCTCCCATCTCCATGCAGGGTCCCAGCGCTCCCGGTCAAGAATCTGAACGGCACCGGCCCCGTCCATCCCGCCCTCGCAGGTGAGCGGGGTCCGGCCAGCGGCTGGGTGTCAACGCGGGTTGACACGGTGGGCGGGGAGCGGGGGACACTGCCGGGGGCTGGGAAGGACGGACAGACGGACAGACAGGCGCTCTCCCGGAGCAGGGATGACGGGGATCCTCATGTGCGCCGCCGGGCTGCCCGTGTGCCTGACCCGCGCCCCCAAACCCATCCTGCACCCCCCGCCCGTCAGCAAGAGCGACATCAAACCTGTCCCTGGCGTCAACGGCATCTGCAGGAAAACCAAAAAGAAGCAGCTCAAGAAGAGTAAGGAGCCACCAATGTCCCTGCGGGATCAGGGACAGGGCGGCACGCTGAGGGGGAAGGGAGACACCCCCAAGGGGCTCGCGTGGGGTGATGCCCATCGCTGCTTGGTGCCGCGTGGTGTCCCTGTCGTGGTGGCAGGGGGTGGCAGGGCTGTCGCCGTCCTGTGGCAGGGGGGTTGTGGCACCGCGGGCAGGCTCTGATGTCATTCCCCGCAGGTAAGACCCCCGAGGACGTGGTGCGCCGCTACATCCAGAAGGTGAAGAACCCCCCGGATGAGGTGAGCGGGGGTTTGGGGGGCTCGGGGAGGCTCAGGCAGGGGACAGGCAGAGAGCCGAGGGTGACCCCTCGTCCCCCCGGATGCTGATGCCGTTCCCGGCAGGATTGCACCATCTGCATGGAGCGGCTGGTCACCTCCTCCGGCTACGAGGGCGTGCTCAGCCCCAGGGGCATCAAGCCGGAGCTGGTGGGCAAGCTGGGCAAGTGCGGGCACATGTACCACCTGCTGTGCCTGCTCGCCATGTACAACAACGGCAACAAGGTCAGCTGCACTCCGGGGCTGCCTGCGGGTCGGGCTGGGGGCTTGGGTGTGCTGGGTGGGTGTCGGAGGGGTGTCAGGGGTGTCAGGTAGATGCAGGGGTGGGTGCTGGAGGGTGCTGGGTGGGTACTGGGGTTATCCAGGTGGGTGCTTCTGGGTGTTGGGGGTTCCTGGTGGGTGTTGGGTGGGTGCTGGGGGGTTCCAGGTGGGTGTTGGGAAGTACAGGTGGGTGCTGGAGGGGTGTTGGGGGTTCCAAATGGGTGCTGGAGGGGTGTTGGGGAGCGCTGGGGGGTCCAGGTGGGTGCTGGCTGGGTGCCACCCCTGAGGCCCACGCGATGCCCCCAGGACGGGAGCCTGCAATGCCCCACCTGTAAGGCCATTTATGGGGAGAAGACGGGCACGCAGCCCCCCGGGAAGATGGAATTCCACCTCATCCCCCACTCCCTCCCGGGATACACCGACTCCAAAACCATCCGGATCGTCTACGACATCCCCACCGGCATCCAGGTGAGGGGGGACCCCTAGGCGGGCTGGTGACCCCCGCCCCGTGTCCCCTGCTCACCCCCTGTGTCCCCACCCACCCAGGGCCCGGAGCATCCCAATCCCGGGAAGAAATTCACGGCACGAGGCTTCCCACGGCACTGCTACCTGCCCGACAACGAGAAGGGCAGGAAGGTGAGACCCCCGTGGGGCGGGGTGGGATGGGAAGAGAAAGAGTAAAATGATGGAAGGAGATAGAGTGGGATAGGATGTGATGGGATGGGATGGGATGGGGTGGGGTAGGGTGGGATGGGATGGGGTGGGGTAGGGTGGGATGGGATGGGATGGGGAGGCTGCAGCTGCACTGGGATGGGGTGGGGGGTACCACAAGGAAGGGTGGCATCTTGTGGGCACCGTGCTGCGGCTGAATCCCAGCCGGGGGAGCTGAGGCTGTGCTGTGCCGGGGGAAGGAGGTGCCGGGTGGCTGTGCCAGGCCGTGCCAGGCTGTGCCGGGGGTGCCAGGTGGCCGAGCCATGGCCGTGCCCACCGCAGGTGCTGAAGCTGCTGATCGTGGCCTGGGACCGGCGGCTCATCTTCACCATCGGCACCTCCAACACCACGGGCGAGTCGGACACAGTGGTGTGGAATGAGATCCACCACAAGACCGAGTTCGGCTCCAACCTGACGGGGCACGGCTACCCCGATCCCAACTACCTGGACAACGTCCTGGCCGAGCTGCTGGCCCAGGGCGTGTCCGAGGCCACCCTGAAGGACTGAGGCCGGGCCCAGGGGGTCCCCGAGCCCCCGTTGCCCCGCCCGTGCCACCGCCGCCTGCGCCGCTTCACCGCAGCCCCGCCCGGCGGGCTCCCCCCCCGTCCCGGGCCACCCGGTGCCACCCACCACGTGTCCCAGTGTCTGTCTGTCTGTCGCCCCGTCCCGTCCCGGCTCGCCCCGCTCTCGTGGCGATAGCGTCGTGGTCTTTTTCTACCCGTGGCCTCTATGCGCGTCTGTGCCACCCGTGTCACCCGTGTCAGCCGCCGCTGCCCCGCGGAGCCGCGCTCAGCCGGTGCCATGTACATCTCTGTGTTACAGAATACACCCCGTGCCGGGCTGCTGTCCCCGCGTCCCCTCTGTGGCTGCACTGCCGTCCCTGCCCTTCCCGGGGTGGGCTGAGGGATACAGGCTGGGGGGTGCCGGGGGTCTCGGGGCAGGGAGGGGGCTTGGGGGTGGCTCTGGGGTCTCGTCGCGGTGGGTGAAGGCGTTGAGGGCGATGTCCGGGTCTCTCGGCACCTCCTGCAGCCTGTCCCCAGCGAACCCCCTGCACGGTGTCGGTGGTCGGCACCCACCTGTGGCACTCACCCCCCTTCCAGTCCCCCTGGCACCCACCCGCGGGTATGTCGCCCACAGCCCCGTATCCATCCCCGACACCCACCCGTGGTGTCCCCCAAGCCCCCTACCCCTAACACGCCCCGTCCCATCACATCCCCCGTCAGCCCCCCGCACTACGCGTGTGCCCGTGTCCCCGTGTCCCCCATCCGTGTGTGTCTGCTGTCCCCTCGTGGAGGGAGCCAGCGCGGTGCTCTGTGGTGCCCACAGGGGTCTGCGGGCGGTGTCTGTGTCCCAGCCTCCCCCCCACAGGTCCCCATGGCCCCCGCGGGGCTCCCCGTACCTGCCCGGCCCGGCCAGGGGGGTCCGGCCACCGCGCTGCCCTCGGGACCCCCGGCCAGAGCTGGCCTGCCGGACAGGGACCCCCAGGACATTATCCCCCTGCTCTCCAGCACCCAAAGGACCCCGAGACCCCCAGCTGCCACCGTGCTGGGGGACAGGGACCTCAGGACACTCCCACCCCGCCCGTCAGCACCTAAATGTCCCCTGGACCCCTGTGCCACCCTCTGGACCCTTGGTCCCCACCACCCTGCAGACAGGGACCCTCAGCAGGCTCCCACCATGCCTGTCAGCACCCAAAGGACCCCGTGACCCCCAACTCACACTCACCCTCAACGCACTGCCACTCTGCCCACCACCACCTAAAGGACCCTCAGGACCCCCATATTTGCCCTCAAGATCCCAAATTCCACCACCCTGGGACAGGGACCCTCAGCAAGTTCCCACCCTGCCCCCCAGAACCCAAAAGACCCCTGGGACCCCCGTGTCCCCCGGACTCCCCGCAGGTGCCCGTGGAGGCTCTGTGCTGCCACCACGGGGTCCCCAAGGTCGCTCCACTGTCCCAGCAGCACCGTGCCGTGGGTATGGCTGCACCCGGGCACTGCCAACCACAGCACTGGGGACATGGGGACACCAACACCCCGGTGTTTGTGGATACCCCAGTGTCCCCAGCATCCCAGAGCTGGCACCCCAGTGACGCCAGTACAGGATGGTTGGGCACTCTGCCAGTGTCCACGCAGGGCTCCACGTGCTGCTCCCAGAGCCTGAAGGGCTTCGGGGTGAGGACAGCAGGAGTGAAGAAGCAAAGGAAGAGGAACCTTCTGATAGAGAAGCACCAGACCTCCTGAAAGGGGATAGGGACAGGGGTAGGGGGGACAGGGACAGCTCAGAGCTCGGGGTGGTTGTCCTGGACTTGTGTGGACGCTCAGCCCCACCGTGGGCCCCACCTCGTGCTGTGCCAAGGGGAATCGTTCCTTCACTCACCTGAGGAGCTGCTTGAAGGCCACTCTCATGGGGAGGGGACACCTGTCCAACGAGCCCACAATGGCATTGATGATGTCCCCCAGGTCCTTCAGCAGCTCCAGGCTGCTCTCCTGCACCTCCGACAGGGACTCCTTGAAGGGAGTCCCCTCCTGTGGGGACACCGCTGGGTCAGGGACACCAGGAACCGTGGCCCAGAGTTGGCCAAAAGTGACCCATGGGCTCAGCAGCAATAGGTGGCCCCTTCCTGCAGGGGACACAGGGACATGCCAGGTGCCCTGTGGCCCTCCAGACATCTACCTGTGCCCACCTGCCCTGGCTCAGCTCCATCATGCTGGGGTCCAGCTCCACATATTTCTCCTCAAAGATGTGATTCACCACCAGCTTCAGGACCTCTTGGAGGCAGGGCAGCCCCACCACCTGCAAGGAGTGAGAAGGCACTGTCCTTGTCCCCACATGCCCTGCTGGGACATCATGGACGTGTCCCTTCCCATGCTCACCTTCATGAACTGCTCCGTGGATTTGGTGGCCAGTGAATTGGAGCTGAAGAGAGTGTTGGCATCAGCTGGGAGAGCACAGAGGCTGTGGCAAGGCAGGCACAGGGTGATGTCTCAGCTGTCCCTGGTGCACCCAACCCCAGGGACATGTGGCACCTTTCCTGCCTCCCCCTTGGTGGCCTCTTTCTCCATGGAGATCTGGAGGGACCCTAGCTTGGGGTTTCTTGGAGTGGCCCTGGGCACTTAGTGGTCCTGGCCAGCTTGCAGGTGGTGAGGTAGTCCAGGAGGGGCACAGACAGCCCCTGGTCCAAGATCTTCACCAATTTGGTGGCCACATGCTGCTGGCTCTCCCCTACGGTCACCCCCTCCAGGACAGCCAGGGCTGTGCCCTTGGGGGACTTTGGGGAGGGCAGGGTGGGGGCAGTGAGGCTTCAACACTGGGGTGGTCACCCCAAAGTTCTTGCAGCCCCAGCACCCACCTGGGCCAGGCAGAGGATGGGCTGTGAGGAGCTGGATGAGGGGCTGGTAGTGGTGGGGGGGCAGGACTGTGTCCTCCAGCAGCCTCAGTGCCAGCCTCAGGGCACCAGCTGTCCCCTGCAATGACACGGGAGCTCACATGGGTCCTGTGCCCTCCATGGGGGCCACCTCGTGCTGCCCTGGTCACAACCCCCTGTCCCCTCTGCCTGCATCACCCGTGGTGCTCGGTGGTGCTGGGGAAGGGCAGGAGCTGGAACCAGCCCCTGGTGGGGCTGGCAGAGGGTGTCCAAGGAGAACTCGACCTGGGAGACAGAGGCAGGGTCTGGATGGGGGGGATATGTGCCAGTCCCTTGGGGAACAGCCCAGGACACGCAGGGTCTGTATGTGGCACTGCCCCCATCCCGGCGGGTCCTAACCTATTGTCACCCAGACCCCAGGGGGGTGCAGAGGTGCCCCCAGAACCCTGCCCCATTCCGGTGTGCTCCGAGCTCCTCACCCGCCCCAGGAAGTTGTTCTTGCCCGCGATGTCCCAGTCCCAGCTCAGCACAGCCTCTCCCAGCCCCTCTTCTGGCAGCTCGACCTCCAGCACCTCATCCCAGTATGGGAACTGGGTTTTCTTAATCACCTGCTGGGCACCGGGACTGGTGGCCGAGGGAACGAGGTGCCTGAGGGTGCCTGAGGGTGCCTGAGGGTGCCTGAGGGTGCCTGAGGGTGCCTGAGCCTCCGGGGGGACCGGGTGCCACACCCAGCACCGAGCACTGGCTCACGGCTGTCTCCAGTGTGTGCCTGCAGCACGACACCCGGCCAAAGGGGTCCGAGGTGCCCGAGGAGTCCAGAGGGACCAGTCCCTGTGAGGACACGGGGGTCAGCAGGGGCACAGTGGGCAGGGGGTTTGTCCCCACCATCATGGTCCCCACGTCCCCCCTTTGTCCCAGCTCTCCCGGGCACATGGGGCAGCCAGCGGGTGCCGGGGGATACTGGGGAGATCGTGCCCTCATTTCCAGGGGAGCCCTTCCTCCTCCAGTCCCTAGTGGGGATGCTGCCGTCCCTCCTGGCTGTCCCCATGGCCACCCTGTCCCCATGGCCATCCTGTTGCCTTGGTAGCCGCTTTGGTTGCCATGGCAGCGGGATGCTGCCTCTGCTGGCTGCTCCATCTGTCAGCTGTGTGTGTCTGTGTGTGTGTGTGCGTGTCACCGTGTGTGTCCCTGTGCGTGCTCACACGCGTGCACACCCTTGTACACACATCCACACCCCCAAACCCAGCCTGGGCCGTGTCTCAGTTTCCCCAAATTTTGAAACCAAAGGACAAAAACATGATGTGAGAGCCAACCTCTCTGCTGGGGAACAACCCTGGGTACTCCGTGGTGCTCCTGTGCCCCTGTCCCCAAGCAGGGATGGCAGCACATTTCCCACTGAGCCCCCATGGCACGTGGGTTGGCACCACTGATGTCCCCAACCTGGTGCAGCAAGGATCCTTCCGAGTGTACAAAGGGGAGGGTGAACCCTGTGCCACCACTGTCTCCATCTTCTCCTCTCCTCCCTCCTGCCAAAAATAAGACCCCGTGGTGGTGGCAGCCCCCCGGAGCTGCCAGCCCCCTAAGCTGGCCTCGATGAGGTGGCACCTGCGTGTGGCCCCGCTGGGGACTCGCAGCTCCAGGTGGATCTCACCCTGCACCTCCTGGGTGGGGTTCACAGGTGCCAGGCTGAGCCAGCTGTCAGCACCTGCCAAGGGGGACAGCGTGGGCACCCCTGGTGCCAGGGTGGGTCCCACTGTCTCCCCCCACCGCCATGTCCCCCCCCGCCCCGCAGCTCGGCCGAGATCTGCTGGTGGCTGAGGGAGACCTTGTCAATGACATCGTCCTGCCTGTGAGGGGACACAGCAGGACACTGCTGGGGACCTGCCACCCCTCGGGGCGTCCTCAGTGCCCACCCTGCCCGTGTTGTACCCCTACCCAGTGGCGTCTTCATCCAGCACGTAGATGGTGAAGCAGTGGAAACCGCGGGGCAGAAGCAGTGTGATTTCCTTACCCCAGAAAGGGTTCAGGCTCTTCCACACCGTGGCCGTCCTGCCGGGATGGCAGGGCTTGTTGCCACCCCAGGGAAGATCCCCCACTCCTGCGTGTCCCCTCCCAGCGTGGGACAGTGTCCCGGTACCTGGCCACCACCTCGTTGTCCACCTTGACCTTGCAGTAGGGATCGCTGGAGCCGGACCTGGGCAGGGGATGGGGGTGCCCAGGGTCAGCCCCCATTCGGGAATCCCCCCCATCCCGGGGCGCCTCAAACCCCGACAGTGAAGCACCAGCCCCGGGGGTGAGAGGAGCTGCCCGGTCTCAGCCTGGCCCTGCAGCTGACACCAGGATGGGGACATGCCCTTTTCCCAGTCCTCCTTGAGCTGAGGAACCTGCTGTGGGTGACCCCGAGCCATCGCCGTGTGTCCCTGTGTGACCCACCTGCGGTACCGCTGTCTGTCCAGCAGCACAGCCCAGCCCGAGTCTCTGTGACAGCCCAGAGGTGCCGGGGTGACACCGGGAGCACAGGATAGAGGGATGAGGCACGGGATCATCCACCTGATCCCTGCAAAGCCCCTTTCTGCTGGTTTATGGCAGCTGGAGCAGCACCGAGGAGTGCCGGTCTGGGGTGCTGCCGGAGCCCCAAATCCCCAGGAGTTGCTTCCACAAGGATTGGGATCCCGAGATGGATGAGGGAGGTGACCCCAGTCTGTCCCTGCCACGGGACGGGAAGTGGGAGCGGCTCACTCCGACCCCCTCTGCAGCCCCATGAGAGCCCCAAGCTGAGTTTGGGGGAGCGGCCCTGGGCACCCCATCATTGTGCAGGTCGCCCAGAGCCCCGCAGTGGGGCACCCAGCAGTGACACCCCCGGCGAAACTGAGGCAGGGACACGGCGCCGTTCCCTGGGAGGAACATCCGGGATACCCGGGACTGCCAGCTCCGCTGAGCCGTGTCCCCGGGGCAGGAGCGGGAGGGGGTCCCCCTGCACCCCACCGCTCACCGCTCCACCCCTCAAAGGGTGCAGATGCCCAGCAGGGGTGGGGGTGCAGGGGCTGTGCCTTCTCTGTGTCATCCGAAGGCTTGGGGGATCCTCTTTGCCCACCCTGCTGGGGGGCACGAAGGGGATGCTAAAAGGGTTGGGGGCTCATAACCCCTAGGGGATAGAGGGGGCTGGCAGTCCCTGCACACCCCAGACCCCCACTTTGGGGGTAATGGGTGCAAGCAAAGATCCCAAAACTGTACGGAGAAAAGAGCACCCAGGGAGGGCAGAGCACGCAGTATCCCCTCCCGCCACATCTCCCGGGCTGGGTCTGGGGGAAATAGGGGGGCCCTGAGCCCTCCGAGACACTCACACGTCCTTGGCAGGCAGGTCTGTCCCCTCCAGCACTCGGCAGCATAGCGAGCTGGTTTTGACCATGCTGGCGAACTTCAGACTTCAGAGTGGGCACCTGGGGGGCTCCGATGGGTGCCCAGGGGTGCCCTGAGCCCCCCAAAGCGCAGCACCGGCCTCCTCCTCCTTCGCGGCCGCTTCTCACCTCCTCTTCTTTCTCTTCTCTCGGTTGTTTTTGTTGCCGCTTCGCTCCCACCTGTGCCCGAGCCGCGGGGACAACCCAGGCGGGCACGGGGCGGAGGGCGAGCACGGTGAGGTGGCACCATGCCCACCCTGGGGGGCACCATGCCCACCCTGGGGGTCCCATCAAGGGCCAGGGACCAGAGAGCAAAGCCACCCTCCGTCCTCGGGGCGGGGAAACTGAGGCACGGGGACATGGCAGCGCGGTGGCACCTGTGGTGGGGGGCTTCTGTCATGTCAGAGCTCCCCAGGGTGGGAGGCTCGGTCTGAACCCCAAAATGCCAAAGGAGGGGGGAACAGCGGAGTTAGGGATGAGGGGAGGAAGGAAGTGCGTGGGACCCCCAAGGGACCCCCAAGGGTGACCCCAGCCCTCGGAGGGGACACGCTGAGCCCACCTGGGGGGACTCCAGCAGGTTTTGGAGTGTCTGTGGGTGCAGCACCCCAATCCCACTCTCCCTGCACCCCGGCCTCGCTGCACCACGGACCCTGAGCCAGAGAGATGGAGGGCACTGGGGGACAGGGGGGACATCCCTGCGCTGGTGAGGGGCTTGGGGGGCTGGGGGATGTCACTGCCTGGAGGTGTCACCTTGTGGGTCCTGAGAGGTGTCAATGCCGGGGGGTGTCCCCGTATGGGTCCTAGGTGGGTGTCACTGCCAGGGGATGTCACCCTGTGGGTACTGGAGGGGTGTCACTGCCGGGGTGTGTCACTCTATGTGTCCTGAGGGCTGTCATTGCCGACAAGTGTCACCCTGTGAGTCCTGGGTGGGTGTCACTGCCAGGGGGTGTCACCCTGTGGGTACTGGGTGGGTGTCACTGCCAGGGGGTGTCACCCTGTGGGTACTGGAGGGGTGTCACTGCCGGGGGGTGTCACTGCCGGGGGGTGTGACCTTGTGGGTCCTGAGTCCCTGACGGTGTCACTACCGGGGAGTGTCACCCTGCGGGTTCTGAGGAGTTCACTGCCGAGGGGTGTCCCCGTGTGGGGTCCCTGAGGGGATCTCTAGCCCCTGGGCCGAGCGGACAGGCACCACCCGCTGCCCGCCATTTCTCCCTCAGGGGGCTGTTCCCCGTCTCTCTCCCGCCCCATCCCGGCCCTCCCCCGCCCCTCTCCCGCCCCATCCCCGGTCAGGGGCGGTGCCGGTGGCGGCGGGGCCGGAGGAGGTGGCTCCGGGTCCCCTCCCCTCCCCTCCCCGCGCCGCCGCTTCCGCCGCCGCCGCCGCCGCCGCCGCCCTGGGCCGGGCGGGCCCGGCGGGGCCGAGGGGCGGCGGGGCCGCCATGAAGCCGAGCGGAGGTGAGCGGGAGCCGGGCGGGGAGCCGGGGGGCTGGGGATGTGAGGGGTGACGGGGTTTTGGGGCTTCTGTCTGAGGGTAACGGGGCCGTCCCGCCGCAGAGGAGCCGGTGCTGCTGGCGGAGCTGAAGCCGGGCCGGCCCCAGCGCTACGATTGGAAATCCAGCTGCGAGACCTGGAGCGTCGCCTTCTCCCCCGACGGGGCCTGGTTCGCCTGGTCCCAGGGACACTGCGTGGTCAAGCTGATCCCCTGGCCCCTGGGAGAGGCCGAGCTGTGAGTGCGGAGTCATGGAATGGGTTGGGTTGGAAGAGACCCTGGTCTCTTCCATGAGACCCTTATCCAGTGCCACCCCTGCCATGGGCAGGGACACCTTCCACTGTCCCAGGCTGCACCAACCCCAATGTCCAACCTGGCACTTCCAGGGATCCAGGGGCAGCCACAGCTGCTCTGGGCACCCTGTGCCAGGGCCTGCCCACCCTCCCAGGGAACAATTCTTTCCCAATATCCCATCCAGCCCTGCCCTCTGGCAGTGGAAGCCATTCCCTGTGTCCTGTCCCTCCATCCCTTGTCTCCAGTCCCCTTCCAGCTCTCCTGGAGCCTCTTTAGGCCCTGGAAGGGGCTCTGAGCTCTCCCTGGAGCCTTTTCCATGTGAACACCCCCAGCGTGGCTCCCGAACAGAAGGGCTCCAGCCCTGGGAGCATCTCCCCCTCTGGTCTCACTCCAGCAGCTCCAGGTCCTTCTGATGCTGGGGTCCCCAGAGCCAGGGGCAGCTCTGCAGGTGGGGTCTCACCTGAGTGGGGCAGAGGGGCAGAATCCCCCCTCCCCTGCTGCCCATGCTGGGGAATCAGCTCAGGGTGTTTCTGGGCTGGGGCACGGCCAGCCCTCACGCACCAGCACCGAAGTTCTCCAGTGCTGCTCTCCATCCATTCATTCCCTAGTTTAGATTTGTCCCAGGGGTTGCTGGGGTGGGGAGTCTCGGGGTGAATGCTCCACCCATCCCTATCTCCCTCCAGCAGCTGCAAAACCTCGGAGCGCAAGAGCCGGGGTGGCAAAGCAGAGACCTGGAGCCGTGGGGCAGCCAAGGAGAAGACTCTGGAGTGTGGGCAGATCGTGTGGGGCCTGGCCTTCAGTGCCTGGCCAGCAGCTGAGGATGGGGACACAGATCCTGTCTGTGCTGTGGGGCTCCCCTGCCTGGTCCTGGCCACCGGGCTCAACGATGGGCAGATCAAGGTGTGGGAAGTGCAGACAGGTGAGCAGCCCTTGCTGTCGTGGCTTCAAGCTGGCTGTCCCCTTGTTCCCATCTCCCTCCTTCCCCAATACCTGTCCTAAGCGAGGTGCATGAGAGGCTCTGCCTCTCATCCATCCCCATGGATGGATGGCACTGAGCATGGCATTTCTCTGCAGGGCACCTCCTCTTCAGCCTCTTGGGACACCAGGATGTTGTCAGGGACCTGAGCTTTGCTCCTAATGGAAGCCCCATCCTCGTGTCGGCCTCGAGGGACAAGACCTTGCGCGTGTGGGACCTGAGCAGGGATGGTAGGAACGTGCAGGGATATTCCTGTGCTGTGTCAGGGAAGGGGGAGAAACCCATCTCGGGAGGGAAGATGGTGAGAGAGAACCTTTGGTGACAGTATTTGAGGCAGATGGGGACAGCCCTGTGACAGGGAGCAGTGTAACCTGGGAGATGCAGGAGGGTATTGCCTTGCGGTTCACCCAGGGAATCCCCAGCCCAGTGTGAATTCCCACTGGGGAAAGGGAGGGAGGGCAGAGCCAAGGGGTCCTGTTCCCCTCTGGTAACACATTTCTGCTGTCCCCAGGACGGCAGGTCCAGGTGCTGTCAGGCCACGTGCAGTGGGTCTATTGCTGCTCCATCTCCCCAGACTGCAGCATGCTCTGCTCCGCCGCCGGCGAGAAGTCGGTGAGTCCTGCAGGGCGGGAGCCATCCCTGTCCCTGCTCCAGTCCTCTGTGTCCCCAGAAACCCCCCTGGGGGAAGGGCCAGGCCATCCTGCCCTGGCTCCTCAGGAGCTGAAGTTGGGAGCAGAGCCCATGTGGTTTAAACCTTGGGATGCTCCCAGCCTGATCCCCTGCCCAAATTCCGCAGGCGCTGTTGTGGAGCATGAGATCCTACACCCTCATCCGGAGGCTGGAGGGCCACCAGAGCAGCGTGGTATCCTGTGACTTCTCCCCGGACTCTGCGCTCCTTGTCACCGCTTCCTACGACGCCTGTGTCATCATGTGGGACCCCTACACCGGGGAGCAGCTCAGGACACTGCGGTATGGACCTGACAAGGGACAGAGCAATGCCAGGGGTCTTATGGGCTGGATGTGGCTTTCCCTTCTCGCTGGGCACAGCCATCACCACTCCTCTGCTTCCAGAGGCAGGATGGGGGTCTGGCTTGCCAAGTTTGGCAGCTCTGCCAGCCTCAGCTGGGGAAGGGGCTGGTGGCAGCTCAGAGCTGATGCTGGGATGTTGTTCCTACCCACAGCCACGTCCCGTTGTACTCCATGCTGGATTCCAGCAGTGAAATCCACACCAGCTCCCTGCGCTCCGTCTGCTTCTCCCCGGAGGGGCTCTACCTGGCCACTGTGGCAGATGACAGGTGAGTGAACCCCTGTGGGGACCCAGAGAGGGGCCCAGGAGGCCAGAACGTACCAGGAGCTCAGGAGGTGGGGAATAAATGTGCCAGGTCCCCTCCAATTCCTGGAATAAACGGGATGGTCAGGCCTGCGGGAACACCATGGCTTGGCTGTGACAAGGGGTAGCAAGGTCAGGGCCTGTCACCCTGAGCTGAGGTCCACATCCTCCTGGGTGCTCTGCCAGCCTCAGCACCCTCAGGGACAGTCCTCCCTGGGACACTCCCATGGGGAGCAAATCCTTCTTGTTTGTGTGTCTTCAGGTGATGGCAGAGGCTTTATTTTGGCAGCAGGCACTGCATTGTGTCATCTCCCTTTCTCCACAGGCTCCTGAGGATCTGGGCCTTGGAGCTGCGGTCCCCAGTGGCCTTTGCCCCCATGACCAACGGTCTGTGCTGCATGTACTTCCCACATGGAGGATTTATTGCCACAGGGTGAGTAAACAGGAGAAGAGGGTGGAGAAACAGGGCTGCTTCCTCCTCCTGCAGCTCAGCAAATTCTGGGCTTCCCTTGGGATACTTCTCCTGGGCTGGGGAACACATGCTCCTGGCAAGCTTGGGAATATTTGGGGGCAGCTGGAATTCTTCGTGTCCCTCTGCCCTGTGCTCAGGATTGTTTGGATCCCATTGCAGGACCAGAGATGGCCACGTCCAGTTCTGGACAGCCCCGAGGGTCCTCTCGTCGCTCAAGCACTTGTGCCGCAAAGCCCTGCGCACCTTCCTCACCACATACCAGGTGCTGGCGCTGCCCATTCCCAGGAAGCTGAAGGAATTCCTCACTTACCGGACTTTTTAAGGCAACAGGGAGAGCAGAGGCACGAGGTGAGCCCTGGGGCTCAGCCTGGGCCGGCGGCGCCGCAGGAACGCCGAGCCGTGAGCCAGGAGCTTTGCTGCTCCCGTGGTTTTGGGGCTGTGGAGGGCTTGTTTTGGTGTCATAATACAAAAACCCAGCGAAATCCCATGCAGAGGGCAAGGGGCAGAGCTGCAGTGGCCCCGCAGGGGACACAGGTCCCCCTGTCCCCTGCTGCCTGCTGGGGTTGGGTCAGGTGCTTCTGCTTCCAAGTGCAATGGTGTGGGATGACGGTGGAGCAGCTTCTGTGGGAGCAGAGCTGTTGTCACCTGCACAAATACGGGGCTAAACCCCCCAAAAACACCCATCTGGGAATGTCCCTCCATCCCGGTGGAGTGTGGGCTCTGCTGCTCTCCCAGTGTGGGCAGGAGAGGGACAAGCCCGAGCAGGTCTCAAGAAATAAAAATTGATTGCTCATGATTTCCCTCCTGGCTTGCTCAGGTGACCTGGGAGTGGCTGGCACCGCCCTCGCTGCCAGGGAGGGGTGGCAGAGGTGTCCACCTGTGGGAAGAGGTGGCTTCACTCCACCCCCTGCTCCCATTCCTCTGTTGTTTTCTCTCAGTGCTGGAGCGTGGCAGTCCATCAGCCAAATTCCCAGTCATGCTGAGCATGCAGCACTGTTTTGTTCGTCCCTGTCCTCCAGCTTAGCTGGTGGCTGGAGCAACAGCACATTCCCTGTGGGCTGGCAGGCTTTGTGGAGGGAATTCTCCTCCAGATGTCCCCAGGATGTTGTTTTTCCCTTGGGAACAGCTGATGCTTCCCTAACCCCCCACCTCCCTTCAGGAGGGAAAAGCAAGGACCAGTGCGACCTGCTGGGCTTTGGAGGCACCTGTATTTTCCCATGGAGCTTGGGAATAATGCTACCTCTTAACAGCCTTTTTAGCCTGACTGTGCACTCAAGGCTTCCAAAAAGGAACTGGGAAGCTGCATGGAACAGCTCCAGGCATGGGGCTGATGGTCCTTCCAAATCCAGCAGCACATCCACCCGGCAGGACTCAGGCTTCAGCCACCACCAGGTCCCTGGTGACCTGGAAGGCGGCGATGAGGGAGCTCAGCTGGATCTTCTCGCTGGTGCCAGCAGCCAGGCGGTACCTGGAGAGGGGCCAAGGGCAGTTTTGGAGGTTTCCACCAATGTGGGTGCCCCCCAAAGACATGGGCCGTGTGCCAGCAGTGCCCAGCAACCACCAGGAGCCACCCCAGGGTCCCCACACTGGGGGAGTGACACTTACTCGATGTCTGCCAGCTTGATCAGCAGCTGCATGCGGATGGAGGGGGGGAAGTCGACTGTGGAGAGAAGGAAACACTCGGTGAGGGCCAGGGGCAAATTTGGCCTCTCCAGGATCATCCAGAGCCAGACCCAGTCCCCACCTCTGTGCACAAAGAGATGGATCTCAGTGAGAATGTCCTGCAGGGCCAGGCCCTTCAGCGCCTTCAGCTCTGTGATTTCTGGGATGAGAGCGAGTCAAGGCCTTGCTTCCAGGTGTTTCCCTGCCAGATCCTGCTCCTCATCTCTGCAATAACCTCACGAGCCTCCCCAGCAAGCAGCACCTGCCCCAGACAGAGATCCCAGAGATCCCTGGGAAAGAGCAGCATTTATCCCAGCTGGGAATAACCCCCAGGGCAAAGGATACTGCGGTAGGCAGTGGAAAAATCCTGGTTCAGCATCCAGTCGAGGATGTTGGCGATGTCAGACTTGAGGGGATGTCCCGTACAGGTATAAACATTCTCCTCTGTCACCTTCCCAAAGGCCATGGAGGTGCTCTGAGGAATAGGAGGGAACAGGAAGGATGAAGAGTCCCCTCCAGCTCAGCTGGCCAGGGGCCGATGGCCGCAGTCCCACCTGCAAGATATTGAGGGCCCTGCGCATGTCCCCACTCGAGAGCGTCACCAGAGCCTTCATCCCGTCCTCGGTCACATCCACCCTGGAAAACACCACCCAGGGCAGTGGAACCGTGGGAATCCAACCTGCTGCTCCTGCCTGGCAGGGAATGGGGACAGAGGGAGCATGGAAGGATCCCCCACTCACCCCTCCTCCTGGATGACGTGCTGCAGCCGTGGCACCATCAGCTCCGGGGTCAGGGGGCCAAAGCGGAAGCGGGTGCAGCGGGATTGCAGGGCGGGAATGATCTTGGAGAGGTAGTTGCAGATGAGGCAAAACCGAGTGTTTTCTGTGAATTTCTCAATCACTGCAAAAAGGAGGGAGGGGAGGAGGGTCCTTGGCTGCTGCCTCGTCCTGATTCCCACCCTGTGCCAGGCTGGAGGAGGCCGATGGCTGCCCACAGTGTGGGATTCCTATGGTGTGGGATTCCCAGTGCCCCTCACCTCTCCTCAGGGCGTTCTGAGCATCCTGGGTCATGGCATCGGCTTCATCCAGGATGACAAGCTTGAAGCCTTTCCTAGGAAAAGGGTGAGTTTGGTGCTGGAGAAGGGGGAGCTGGGATGCTTGTTCCCAGCCTAACTCCTGGGAAGCATTTCCTGCATCCTTACCCTCCCTACTTGCTCGGCACGTTCCTACCGTCCCCGGGACCTCCCAAATCCCCTTCCCAATCCGAGTGCCAGAGCAGGAGGGTGCCAAAGAGATGGGGAGCTTTGGGAAGCACAGACCCACCACATACTTAAAGATGGTCCTGGTGCTGGCAAAGCTCAGGATGGGCCCTCGGACGATGTCGATGCCCCGGTCATCGGAGGCGTTGAGCTGGAAGGGAATGGTGTGGATCCGTATCCCTGCATCCCGTTCCACCCCATCTCAACCTTTCTCTTCCCGCCCCATCTCATCTCATCTTGTCCCATCCCACACCACTCCATCCCATCCCACTCCAGCCCGCCGTGTCCCCGCTCACCTCCAGCACCATGGAGCCGAACTCCCGCTCCCGGTACAGCTGCCTGGCACAGGCCAGGATGGTGGATGTCTTCCCTGTGCCGGGCGGCCCATAGAGGAGCAGATGGGGGAGCCGGTCCTCGCTGATGAAGCGCTGCACTACGGGATAATGGGATAATAATGGGATAACAGCGGGATAACAGCGGGATAACGGGGCTGGGGGACAGCCGAGACGGGCGGGGGGGATTAATTACCGGTGCTGAGGATGTCCTGGTGAGACACCAGCTCGGACAGCGCCTGCGGACGGTACTTCTCCACCCTGCGGCAGGGAAGGAGAGGAGCGAGGAGTCAGCCCTGGGGCAGCTCCCACATCGTTATCCCGGTATTATCCCGGTATCCCGGTATTATCCCTGTATCCCTCCATCCCCCCCGCTCCCGGCCGTACCACGGCAGGTTCGCGCTACCCGCCGGCGCCATGTTGGGAAGTCTCGCGAGAGCTCCGCCAAAGCGCGCGAGAGCGCCGGGGCGGGGCGGGGCGGGCCTGAGGGGGCCGGGCGGGTCCTGCTGGACCGGGACAATCCCGGCCCCTTCCAGCGCATCCCGGAGCAGCCACAGCTCCGCTGGGCATCTGTGGGAGCACCTCCCGGGGAACAATTCCTTCCCAATATCCAGTCCAGCCCTGCCCTCTGGCAGTGGAAGCCATTCCCTGTGTCCTGTCCCTCCAACCCTTGTCCCCAGTCCCTCCCCAGCTCTCCTGGAGCCCCTTTAGGCCCTGCAAGGGGCTCTGAGCTCTCCCTGGATGCTTCTCCTCTCCAGGTGAGCACCCCCAGCTCTCCCAGCCTGGCTCCAGCCCTTGGAGAATCTCCATGGCCTCCTCTGGTCTCACTCCAGCAGCTCCAGGTCCCTCCTGTGCTGGCCCCAGTGCTGGACACAGCGATCCCACTGGGATCTCACCTGAGTGGACAGGGAGGATCCCCCCCATCCTGCTGTCCCTGCCCATGGCAGGGGGTGGGACGAGTTGACCCTTAGGGTCCCTCCCAACCCAACCTATTCCATAATTCTGTGGCTGTGGGAAGAGCACGGTGCTGGTGTTCACCACAGCAGGGTGGTGCTGCTGATCCTGGGGAAATCAAAGCAGCAGGAATTGCTGGGTCAAGAGTGAGCAAGGTTTTGGGTAAACACAGTGCCCCTGCCCTGAGAAAACCCTTGGGGTGAGAGGGGCGCCTTTGGGTGCAGGGACACTTGAGGAGAGGTGATCTGGGATCCTCCCAGTGCGACAGGAGCAGCAAACTCCAGAGGTGATGCCAGAACAAACCGCCTGTCCCTGCTGCTTCCCAGTGCCTCCGGAAAAGCTCTGGAGTCTCTTTTAGAGAAGGAGCTTAGAGGGGAGAATTAGCCCAGGCTGCTGGGGTGATGCTCCGGTGCTGCTCTGATCCCAGAAAGGAAAGCAGGCAGGAGTGAGAGGCACCAGCTTGGAAAACGCAGGTGGAGTGAGGATGGGAAGCAATCCATTGGGAAGTAGAGGTGCCGGGCAGACAAAAAATCCCTGGAAAAATGCCGTTCCTGACAAGGGAAATGAAAACATCAAGAGCTCTAGGCTGGATCCTATAAAAACCCAACAATCTGCTCCAGGGCAGCTGCTTTCCTGTTTTTTCCCCCCTTTTTTTTCCCTGCAGCCCCATAAAGGAAAGCAGGAGCTGGAAGCTGAGGTCAGCAGGCTCAGCCATCCCTCTGGGCGCGTGACAGCCATGACAGATGGCCCTTCCCTTCGGGAGCCTCCAGGTCCTTCCCGGGCACCTGGGAACAGCCGGGAGCTGGGATTTTCCTGCATATCCTGCATCCAGAGCTGCTGCTCTCCCCCTGGATTTGCCTTTGCCTGGGGCAGCCTCTTGTCCTCCCAAATGGATTTTTCCAGGCGTTTTCTCTATCATTAATAAATCCTGAGCTCTGGAGCAGGGAAAATCTTTGGGGTGTTGTTTAATAGGGTTAAACTGATGGGTGCATCCCCCTGGGATGGCTCTGATTTCCCTCTTGAGTGGAGTTGAGGGGGCAGAGGTGATGGGACAGGGATGACAGGACAGAAGTGATGGTGACAGAGGTGGTGGTGACAGTGTTGATGGGACAGGGGTGAAGGGGACAGGGGATGATGGAACAGGGGGGCAGTGACAGGAATGATGGTGATGGAAATCAGGAGGCAGATGATGGGACAGGCATGATGGTGACAGAGGTGGTGACAGGGGTGACGGGACAGGGATGATAGGACAGAGATGATGGTGACAGAGGTGATGGTGACAGGGTTGAAGGGACAGGGGTGATGGTGGCAGGGATGAAAGGACAGAGGTGATGGGATGGAGGTGATGATGATAGAGATGCTCTTCCACAGAGGATTAACAAGGTGCTCCTTGAGAGCTGAAATCCAAGGGATCCTCCCACCTCCTGTGGAGCTGAAGAAGTTCTTTGCCATATTAATAACCAAGAAATCCCAATGCCGATATCCAAAGGCTGCTGTGGAGCAGAGCTCACTCTGAGCTGGAGGAGTAAACCCTTATGGGGTGGTTTTGGGGGAATTTGGTGGGAAACCCCTGGTGTGGTACAGTGGTGTTGGTTTCCCAGGTTGCGAAATGCCAGGGCATTCCCCCTTCCTTCCCAGCAGGATGTCATGCCTGGAAGAGCACCTTTGGCACTGAGGGAGCATGAACCCAGTTTAGAGACTCTGAGTCGCTCCAAACTCTTTTTTCATGGAGAAAACCAACGGAAGTAAATTAAAATATTGCCAGATATTTTTATATGGACTGTTTGTGCCATTCCCACTGTCTTGAATGTTCATCCACCTCTCGGACTGTGGCGAGCTCCAAGTATGGGATCTATCCCACAGGCTGCTGTAGGGATTTTCGGGAAGCATGAGGTTTGGTGAACACCCAAAATCCCTGCAGCTCTCTTGCTGCAGTCTTTTGGGATGGGTGCTTTTATCCCAGTGGATTCTTCCTGCTTGCAATTTATTTTATATTTCCCTTCCCTTCCCTTCCCTTCC